ATTCATTAGTGTTTTAATTAAAGCTGTGTAGTTTAGTTTTCAATCCAGCCAAGTCTCTCTCTTTTTTCTCTCTCTCCTTCCCTACCTGGGGGGGGAGGGAGGGGATCGAGAGCATTGTTGTCGGACCTGAGTCAAACGGTGACAGGCGGCATATTAGATCATCCATTCTCTCTCCCATGGGGCTCTGCAGGATTCTCTTGTGATACATTTTTTCCTGTGTCTTCTCTGTGCTAGTTTTACGTAACTCCCAGTAAGCAAATTTTCATCTTTTGCCTTGAGACAGCTCTGTGGGGCATTTTACTGCCAGGAGATTTTAATTTTTTTTCCCCCTTAAATTTTGTCTTCCCTTATTTCCACTCCATTCTCCTGGTTCAGGCCTTGTGAATGTCAGTCACACTGAGCAATTTCTCTGTCTGCTTAGTTGAGGAACACCACCTTAGAAAACTGAAATTTTACATTGATGGTCATTCTTTATGAGCATCTCCTTCCCATGAGCTGATTGCTTTCCCTCTATCTGCCCAACTGCCTTAGCTGAGTTGTGTGGAATTGACTGCAACACTAATGGTTGACCCTAGATTTTTTTCAGAGCTGTTGCAGCAAAGGGGACTCTTACTTTGGGATACAAGATTTCTATGCCCTGATCAGATTAACTATGGATCAGAATAAATGGACTCCTTAAAAATTAACAGCTGCCCTGGATGTCTTCTGTTTGGCTTCCAGAGAGCTTTAAATGTGCTACACTACCAAAACATCGGTGCAACAGTCACTTAAGACAGTGTTAGCCTGTGTGGCGTGCTTGTAGTGACAGCAATAGCCAGGTCTGTGCCATAGCTAAGATGTTCCTTGTTCCTCAGTAGTTCCCAGCCCTCCGTAGTCAGGGGTGCTATTTGGGACAACACAACTACATTCTTCTGATTGTCCTAGAAGAACCTGAATTATAAATACTAACAGATTTAAATTTAACTGAGGCTGGACTTTCAAACATAAAAAAATATTAGGCCACATTGCTTGCAGATGACTGCAGCAAATCAGTAATTCCTCCAGAGTACTGACAGATCTAACTGGGTGTTTGTATACTATAAAGTTATAACATGGGATATTTACCTTAAATGTCCACCAGTCCACTTCTGCTTTCCCATGGAGAGACTCTAGAACAGTTCCTCAGACAACTACATGGAAATATTTCTGGATGCTCAATTCAGATTTCTGTTCTTGGTTTCAAACTCATCCCAGGTACTTCTCCCTTCCTCTCTGACAAGAGCTTCACATGTACTCCAGGATCTAAGGAACAAGCACAAACCCCTGAACCTGTTTTAAAAAGGGGCAACTGCAGAGACTCCATTTTGCAAAAGGTAAAAATCCTGGTTTATTAATTATTTTTTTCCACTTCCCTGTGTTTATCACTACAGTCCAGGTGAAGCTCAAATTTACCCTGAATGCCTTGAATTTCCCACCTTTGCATTTTGAAAGACTGAAGTGAACTCTCCCACTGTTCTGGTTGTGGAGGTGCCCCAGGATTTCTGGGATTTTGTGTTGATGCAGAGTCCAGTGTTCACTTTTTCTGCAGCTGGTTTGAAACAATAGAGAGTGAACTGCTCTATTCACTGCCAGGAGGTACCAGCTGGGATGCCCACTGTTGGCATTTGAGGTTTAACTGTTTCACTGGCTGTTATCCCAGTTGCCTTGTCATGGAAGTATTTCCCACTAAAATCAGTGATCTGGAGGATGCAAGAGACAGATTCTTTGAGACGCAAGAGAGGAAGGAAAAGAGGAGTGCAAATGCTCGTAAATGGGATCTCAGAACAAAGAATTACATTTCAACAGATATTTATTCCTTTTTACTCAGCTTTTATTTGTGATCTGCAGATAAGAAGCTCTGCCCTACCCCTTAACCTCGGCCTGACTCCAAGTTCTTGAGGCTTAATCTGATGTCAAAACCCACGGCACCAGAGATAGAAAGGTGACCTTACAAGTGGAACAGAAGGCTAGAATCAACAAAGACCCCCACAGGAGACCTTCGAACATGCATAATTGCAAAGATAGCCAATTCCAGGAAATAAAATGGCTATGTAAAAGAATTCTGGGGACTCATTGACATAGAACTGAATATGCACATTTTTGGTGTATATTAGTTGGCGTGTTTCACTGACTCGTTGGAGCACCCATGGTGGAGAATCCCCAGTGCTGCCCAGTGCTGCAATAAAGAGCCTGCTCAATAACAGCTTGTTTGTTGTTATTAGGTTTTGAACTCGGAATCCTTACCCAGCCGCACCAGCCTCCCACTGTGGTGAGGAGTGTTAGAAAGCAAGAGGGTTTGGAAGCTCCAAAATTTTTGTTTCAGTTGGCACCCCAGATGGGACCTTTTCTCTGTTCGGCTGCGGGAACCTCCAAATCGGCAACCCCCTAGGCTGGCCCCAGCGTGTTCTCTGGAGGACTCACCGATTTGTCGGATCCATGCGGGAGCAGACAAGACCTCTGGTAAGAATAAGGCATTGTTTTGTGTGTTTGTTTGTTTTTGGGACCGGTCAGTTGGAAAGCTACCTCATCAGTCGCAGTTCGTGAGAACCCCGCAGGCTGGCGAAAGCACAGTAAGGGTGTGCTTCTGGTTCAGCACGCGTGAGTGTGCTTTGGGTACAAGCTCAGTAGAGTGACCTTTGGTACATTTGGTTCAGCACGCGTAAGTGTGCTTGGGCGGTATAAGCTCAGGAGAGTGGGCTTGTACGAGTATTGATTTCCTGGTAATCAGACTCGGCAAACGTTATTTTACATTGTGAATTTGGAAAATGTTATCTGGATATTGAGTTATTATTGGAAATACTGATTTTTGCTTTGGGAACTGTATTATCTCATGAGATTGGTTGAAAGATTTATGAATTGGGTGTGTGTGTGACTGAGACGTGCAGTTAAGTACGAAGCGAGTGTGGAGTTCTGATCCACGGTTCCGCAGCTCTGCAAGGGGCGCGGCTGGAGACAAACAAAGTGAAAGTTTTGTCATTTGTAACTATGTTTAGAGATCTCCTCTTTAAAATTGAAACAATAGCAAAGTTTGGTTAATAGTAACTTGAAATGTCATAGCAGCTGCTGAAGGGATAATAACTGAATTGATAATTGATAATGTGTGTTTTGTAAGTGTCCCAGTACCCTATGTCTTATGTGACTAATGTATGTATTTTAGAGACAATTGTATTATTGGCATTATTAATTGTGGGGAGGATGTGGGAAGAATTTATAGTCTCACTGAAGTATATTGTGTTGGGTTAAAAAATGAGAAACACACAGGACAGTTGAATTCTTAAGAAATGTCCCCTGGGCTGTATACAGGCCTACTGGAAGAACATTGCAGAGGGGCTGGGAGAGTCACTTAGTAAAAAGACTCTCATCAAATATTGTAACCAATGGTGGCCACCATATCAATTAGAAAATGAAGAAAAGTGGCCAATGAATGGGACCCCAAATTATAATACCCTCCTTCAATTTACATTATTTCTCAGGAGAGAGTAAAATGGATTGAAGTATCATATGCAGATATGTTCTTTTCCCTGCAAAATCATCCGGAGTGGCAAAGGGACTGTGAGATGGTCCCACCCTCTGACCAGCTCTAAAGATGGTATTGTGAAAAATTTAGTTGTCTTACTTGTCTGGTAACTGTTTAAAAGTGTTGTTTAGCTTGTGTCTGGTATTGCCGTTTAGTTTCACTTGTGTTTTGTAACATGATAATGTATCCTCAGAAGGATGTGACATTACTAAATGCTTACCATTAGGATGCATTCTGGAGATTGGAATAAGTTTGGGAATGAGCCTTTGAAGATTAGTGGATTGCAGTCAATGTGGTTTTGCAAACGTGAAGGGGGATGAGATGTGCTGTGTGGATGGTTTTATGATAATGAGATGTGAGTTTAGTAAGGAAAGTTGTTGCAAGTCGATGAAAGGGGATGGGAATATGGAGGATCAGTTAATGAAATCCTCGGCTCTCCCTCTTCACCCTGGCAATATGAGGGGGAGTGAAATGGGGGCGAGTGGACGTTTGGAGGATACAGATTCCAGTCAGGTGGCTGGGAAAAGGGGGCAGTGTCCTGCTGTTCATGCCTCTTTAAGATAAGCATTCAAGGTGGAGGGAC